GGACAACTTATTGCACAGTGAGGTAATCATATAAACAGACAGTATTAAAGATTTCTCAATGATTTAAAATGTGAATCACTTGGTGAATATTGTATGTTATTTCACTTTGTTTTAAAGACTATGGCTTCGGTTGAGGAAGAATTTCCAAAACTGAAAACATTAAAAGGAGGCTGGATGTTTTTCAAGTCAGCAGGTAATATTGTTCTCATCTCCATTGGTGAAAATGCTGTGTTGTGTTTTTCACACTCAGAAGCCCCACATATGTGTTTTCTGTTGCCCTACTTTGAATTACCATTCATATCACTTCTTCAAGTTGTATAAAACAGTACTAAAGTTTGCCTGACAAAGTGTAACGTATATCCCTAATATTAATGTATGTACTGTCAGGTGGTTTTAAAGCACACTTGTGTTGTTCCTATTTTGATTTTAAAATAGGTGGTAGTGGACGTCGAAAGCTGTCCATAATTCCTACTGACTCCGAGGGGTACTCCACAAGGCTCCTCAAAACAGCGTCCAACAACGGAAAAAACATTGTGTTTGTAATTCCACTACAGGAGCAACTTTCTACCGAACCACTACCCTATGACTCGGCAGAGTTTGCAAAGATGCCACAGTCAACCTGCATAACATGTGGCAGTCAAATGCCTTTGCAGCTGTTGCCTTTACATGTGGAGGAATGTAATGACATATTGACTGTAAGCTGTTATTAAAACGTTTCTCTCATTTCTCAAATAAATATGTAATGTTTTAGTTTGCTCAAATGACTGTTTCAAAGTCTATAGAACCAATTCTCTGTACCTTTTTTGTTTTTTAGGAGAGTGAATCTGGGACTTCTCTTGATGAAGTGATTGAGCAGCCAAATCCACCTAACACAGGGATGGGAGAATTGTCAGAGGTAGTTGATGCTGATCCTGTTAAAGTTACTTTGCAATTTAGTATAAAAGCCTTATTGTTTTCAGTAAATAATGACAGCATGATTGCAGGTGTGTATATAGGTAGGGTATAACACATTTCACCAAACAGACTTTTTGCACACTGTCTATGTACTCATTTTTTTATCATAGAATTATGTTTCCTGTATCACTTATCTGAGAGAGAATTATTAAACATAAAACCTCTTATAATAATGTGATATGTTTTAAAGGTATTGACATTTGTTTATGTTTTTTACAGGTTTGCCCTATATGTCTTGAATCTTACCCAATTGATGTCCTCTCATTTCATGCAAGCACATGTGGTGAAGGGTAAGACGTTTTGACTTGTTCAAGCAAAAGATGGAAGATAGACATGTTTTGAGAGAGGTGAACAACATATACAAAGTGTCAAACCTAATAACGATATCGTTTGGTGAATGTGCTTGTTCCTTTTTTGTGTTTTAAAATGCTGTAATGTTACAGCTATAGCAGCTGCATCAGAGCATGTGATGCATTTTTAGGAAATGTAGAAATCTTAACAGAGCCGAAATACTTATTAGGGATCTGATTTAAATTACTTTGTTTGATATGCAAGAAGAAATATGTAAAAAAAGAAGGGCGCTCACTAGTCTCTATTTTCCATTCCTGTGAGTATGTTTTTTGTTTTGTCTTTTCCAAGAATGGACCCTGCTCATCATAGCGATGCAGCCAGTATGACAAGGACAGAGGAAATGCCAGGACCTTCAGTTCAACGATTGCCAGCAACAGTTTCAGCAGGTTATTTATTCAGAACAATTACTGCTGTGGTGTAGTTTGAAACAGTGACTACTCACAAACACTTAAATAGCAATGATCACCAAAATGAATGTTGTTACATGTTTGATCCAGTAATATGGAAAGGATAATTGATTTCAAGTTACTACCTTTTAATATATTGCTTTAAAATACAGGGCTTACTAAATGAGACAATAAATGAAGTACTATTTTACAATTGAAGCTGACATATTATGAAGTTTATTGTACCAACCACTTTTTTTCCCTTCAAATTACATTTCAGCCTGGGCCAATGAAGTGGACCCCCGGAAGGCATGTCAGTTGTTCAGAGAGGAACTGCTGGAACGTAACTATGAATGTCCACGCCTCTTTCTGTCAATCGACTTGTTTGACGCAGAAGAAGAAACAGACAGTTCATTGATTTCATTCTTTAAAATGAACAATGTTAACTGGGCAGCTCCATTGAAGTGCAGGCTGAGAGGTATTAATAAATAGTGTAACTTCTCATGTTTCATTATAGGTTGTCATCTGGGTCGAATTTTGCCTTTTTGTTTGTTTTTACTTGCATGTTGAGGATTAAGTTCATGTCCCTTAGACCAGGGAAGAAAGAACTAGTTACATTTATTGTATTGAAAGCTTGAAGGATGATTCATGTTGTCTCTTGGTAAGTGTATGTTGAATATCATCTTGTTGGTTGTACTTTTCTAAATGAGGTCGTCTTTTCAAGGGGATGCAGCAGTCGGCCAAGGTGTCAACCGACACGTTTTGTCAATGGCCATGCAGAAACTGAAGACCGGCTTCAGTATAAATTTAGGTGGGATGTCCCCATTTGTCTTTCAATTGAAATAACCACTTGCAGCTAAATCTTAATAAACCAACAAAGATTACAACATGCATATTCACAGTTGAACCAACACTCAATATAGCTTGACCTAAAAATTACGTTATAGCAATACATGGTGTCTAAACTATTTCTCCTTTTCTCTTAAGGCTGTGCAGCTCTTACAAGCCTTTTTGAAGGCGAAATGGAACATCGGGTTCCCTCCGCAGCTGCTGTGCTTCGGGAAAGCAACCTGTTTGAGATGGCAGGTCGGATGATAGGCCATTCCTTCCTGCATGGTGGTTTTGGTTTCTCAGGACTAAGTGTGCCTGTAGTGACTCTGTTGACTGGTGGGAGCACGGATACTGCAGCATCAGCGCTTACCCTGCTGGACTGTCCTGATCTTGACCACCGTGAAACAATTGGTTTTGTGAGTGTCCTAGTTAAAAAGTGACATGTCATACACCACTGCACCACAATGCTAACATACACTTGTCATCTTGTGCATTATGAAAAAGATTCCATTCATGCGTCAAGGCTGGGCTGTTTAGCTAGAAATGATTTCCAATGCTTTTTTGTGTCCCATTTTGATTTTTCCAGATTTAGGCTTTTTGTCCACTTTTGCATGCATTTAAAAGATGTCCTCTTTTCTCCTGTTTTAGCTCAAGAATACACAACTTACTGCTCAAGAAACCACCAGTGTGACTGATCTTTGCCTGTCCTGGGACCTCCCTGTTCCAACCTCCACCAATCATGACTGGCTGTTCCAGGAACTTCTTTCCCATGCAGTAATCATTTTATATTGTACCATTTTTATTTAAACAATACAATACAATGTTTAGGTAATTAGTAGGTTTGCTTTGTAAGTCCTCCTGTATCTGCTACTGTGGTGTTTTTCCATTAGTGCCTCAGTTTGATTGTTCCTTTTACTTGTAGGTACTTCACCGTGTTAGGCAGCCTATCAAGCAGATTCGCAAAGGCCTTAAAGAAACGGGAATCTGGCCGCTTGTTTCAAATAGGCCAGATGTCCACCCCATATTATTTCCAAGAGAGAAAAATGATGAGCTGAACTCACAGGTAAGTACCATTTTCTTTATTGGATTTATGTTATTCATGGGATTTGTTTGCAAACACTATCATGCAATTTCATTTGTGGGGCTCTTAAACTGGTGTGTAGATCTTAAATCAATGCTTTACAATGTTAAGATAATTCTGTAGCATATAACATGAGCTTCAATCTTAGCAAAGAACACGTTTGTATTTGATCCCCTATAGACTGTGATCCAGAACATCCACTGGCCACAGCCCAAAAGTGACAGCGATGAGGACGAGGACGACGCCGTTCCATTGGAGAAAGTCGGTCTCGTCACTGGATTTTTGAGGCAATTCATAGAGGAAGGTAACACTAATTAATGACTGCTAAAGCTGTAGTGCAGCTGAAGAGATGGCAGTTCTGATGAAAAATAATATACACACATCGGTGTACAAATACAAATCTATGCATGGGTTAACCGTTGATATTCCTGCAAGTTTTACTGCTCAAATTTAAGTTTTGATATAATGCAATTTGAGGTATCGCATACATAACAAATTCTCTCCCATAGCATCTCCGAAGGTGCTGCGTGACCTCTTGAAGTTCTGGGTCGGGTGGGAGCTGCTCACAACAAACCTTGAAGTTGAGGTTGTTCCTTCAAAATACCCAGTGGCTCTCACCTGCTTCCTAAAATTGAAGCTCCCAAGCCACTACCAAACTTATGAGAAGTTCCACCAGGACTTGATGATGGCCCTCAGTTCCATCAGTTCAGGCTTTGGGCTTGTGTAGCTACACACTGACTCTCAGTTTGTTTTGTATTTTTCTGGAGAAGGGTTTGCCTCTCTATTCAATACACTGTGTGAGATACAGGGTTACAGTTGGTACACCTACCGTGTTTTATAAATAAAGGACATTTGGAAAAAGACTGTTTGTCCATTATCATTGTTACACTTTAACGGAGCGTCCACACAGCAGCGTGCGTTGACGCTTGGAGTTGGGCGTGTCTGAAGCTTGGGGATTTTTTGCGACCAACAACCAATCACATGAATCTCCCGCCCCCGACATACAAAGCAATAGCAATGTTAAAACGAAGTAAACTGGATATAAAATAATGAATTTTCCCTCAATTTTTTTGAATATGAGGAAATGACCTGCGTAGTCTCTCCCAGCATACACACGGTTTGATTGGCTAGCGCTTGTAATGGCAGATTTGCATAAATGGGATTTCATTGGCTGACGCTTCTGCCGAGTCGCCAAAAGTTGAACATTGCTCAACTTTTGAAGCGAGCAACGCCAGCAACGCTCCACGTCGCTTTCCAAAATGCAGTTCGGCTAAAAGTGACGTCACCCCATTCAAAGTGAATGGGCAGAAGCGTTGGAAGCTTCAACGCACACCGCTGTGTGGACGGGCCGTAACAATGCCCAATCCCTTGAACAGTAAAGCATTACACTCCGAATAGTTATTTTACAATGTTTTTATTTTGTACAGAGTGTAAAATGAATGTAATTCTGTTGCTCTGAAACGGTTTTTGATCCTGACTGAAAATGCATCTCTAAAAACACTTCCATTAATTTATAAGTCAAAAGAAAAATGTCTAATCATGCAATTGAGATTAACTTAATCAAGCATAAGCTATGTAAATATAAAATGATTAACTTTCCATCATTGCCAAATAACTGAAATCATGACACAAATCATACTATAGTTGTTAAATGTAACAACTATCGGTGCTCAATTAAATTCTCAATGTATTGGACAGTATTGAGATATATGTCCACTCCGAAACATTCAGATTCTTCCAATGGATCAATGTTGTCTTGCAGTTGCATCATTTCAAGGTCTGAGAGAGGGAAGTTCAGCGTAGGGACATTGACCCCGGTATGATGCTCATTTGTGTATCCACTCTCTTCCCATTGAATCTCTGGTATGAGTGAACCCTAAAAAAGACAAAGTGAGTGTACAAATATTAAAGCAAGCACTGTGCCATTACTGCTTCTTATTACAAAATATGTGATCAGGAGAAATAAAGAGGGTATGCAATTGTTCTATAATAATAAAAAATGGAGTGATTGTGGAATAATGTTAAGGTAATATTATAGAAAAGTGTTCTTGCTTGCTCCCAGCAGAGGTTCTTTTAATCCAAGAACGGGAGTTAGTTTATGAATCAGATAACTTATTATACTGTTTGGGTTTTTATTGATTGATAATAAACAAGAGATAGTGATGGTTTTGAAAATTCATAATTGACCTCAGGCTCAGGATCTGCAACAGGATTCAGGTGCTGGCCCACCTGCCACAACTGATTGGGTGTCAGATTTTGCTCTGTCCTGATGGGATGGTTGGCCCAGGCCTCACTGAACACATCCAGGTTGGCTTGGATGCGTGGCAAGAAAACGTAGTGGCAGCAGAAGATGTGCAGGACGTTACTGATGTCAAGCAGGTGTTGTTCCTCAAGAGAGTGCAGGGTGTTGTAAAAGACACCCGTAACACTCATGAACACATCACGCCAGAGGCGTTCAATTCTGTGAGAAGAAAACACAAAAAAATGTTAAACTTAAAAGAAAATTCAAACTGTTCACTATGAACAATTTAAAGTTTCCTAGTCATTGAGTCAATGGCAATGTCTCTAACTGAAAATTGCATTTATTTAAAAAAAATCAACTGACTTGACAGGAGAGTACAAACATAACATTAAGTGAGTTTTCAAATGTTTGCGTGGCTGGTACATTTCTGTGAAAATTGTCATTTTCTTCTTTGTGAAGGAATGGTCTCAACATGTGCTTATGAAGGTTTGTTAAAGGGAAGAAGAAATATGCTCATAAGCTTACAAAATTAGGTTTAACTCACCGTTGATTGTGTACGCTTTTCCCTGCAATGAAGCTGTTACTGTCAGTTCCACGAACTGAGAACATTAATTGTGCTACTCCCACATTTTCTCCACCATGATCTCCTCTCACTCTGGAAAATACATCAAATAATTATGCATAGTTAAAATCTACGTATTTGAAGGTCCAAAAAACGAGGGGTACAATTCCATAATGATCTACATCCATAATGTGATCACAAATGGCTCTCTCTGGACATACATATTTGATATATCTGGACAGGTCCTTAACTGTAACCCTTAAGAGTTCTCTTTCACTTTATTAAACCTCGAGTTATCTTCCACACCTGAATGAGGGATGGTTCACATCAGCTTGTGAATAGATTATATTTTCATATTTCTGTACAGTACATGAATCTCAGCTGAGGGATAGAAAAATCTGACATGTCGCTTATATATTGTCATATGTGAGGGGCTCACATAGAATTAACAATTGATATGTCTGTGTCCGACAGCACTTTTGTGACCTAGAAAAGTACCGTTTATAATGGCAATTGTTTTAACTTATATGTTCAGATTGCCTCTTTGAACTAACAGTAAAGCACGACAATATTTGCAATGAATGAGTCCCATCAAAAGTAAAGTGGTCGTCACTGATGCAGCCATTGGAGGGGAACATCTAAATTTGATGGAAAGGTCCGCAATTACACTAATGATTACATATGAAATAATGTGAATACCTCAGAGGAAACCCGTGCTCGTTCACAGCTTCATTGAAGAAACACAAGTGGGTGTCAGCCCGGTTGTTGTCTGCTATCTTCAAGTACATAATCTACACATACAAGTACACATAAAACAACATATTAGTACCTTGATGAATCAGTTTAACTTGAAGCATCTGTCAAATGACAATGTGCAGCATTAAGAGAACAACGCACAACAGAATTATTCAATGTATAACAGAATATCATGATAGCTCAGGCAAGCTTCTTGACATATATTGTGCAGTTACTAGTATAAGTGTTTTAATTATTTCACAAGTTCTTCAAAGTATTTATTTTGAAATTAAGTAAATAAGTAAATGCACATTGTTTGATCTGAATCACTTAAAATATAAGGTGACTTTAGAAGTCCATATCGTCTGTTTGGTAAGAGGCGATATGCAATTAACTATAGGTTAGATTGTGTACCTAAAGATCACCACCTGTTGGTACAGAAAATAAACTGAAGCTTAGAAAAGTAAAACCATCACATGATGTTCGGCAACATTTTGCAGTTGTTGGTTCTTGACAATAGAATAGTCTTACCTTCCTTGAATAGCCATCTATTCCCCCAAAGATAACAAAGTTGTACCTGTCAATGATAGACAATGATATGATTACATACACAAGATATATACAACTAGACATTAAAAATAATAAAATGAACAGATTACATACAGACAGCATGCAGACAAACCTGATGAGCTTGTGGTTGGTGTCAATGTGCACCATGTACTAAGGGTAAGGAACTGTGTATGTTCTCCTCACCACACATCCCATCCGGGTCATCCTGGCGAGCACACCAACACTGTCCACACGATGCATGGATGCATACACCCGTTCCCATTGCACTCTGTGTCCCTTCGCAAGTAGAGCACCTCGGACTACACGGTAGCCAGCATCTGGCATTGCACTTTTTATTGTGGTGATCAATGAATCCAATTCGTCATCAGTGCAGCCACTATATGAAGCAGATATAGAAATGTCATTTTCGGTCACCCGCCTAAATAGCGTTGCTCTAGACACACCCAGGAGTCTGGCGATGCAACTCGATGGCAGTCCCAGTTCAACCAGATGTGTCAGAGCCTCTACTGACACATTCAATCGTGGACGCCCACGTCCACAACATTTTTGCAACTCAAGGGTCACAAATATCTGTTGATTATCTCTCTCTTGTTGGATAAGGCTATTCAGGTCTGCAAGTGCAGACTGTATATTATTCCCTAAATCAACAATGTCACCCAGTGCACTCAATATAACAAAAGCCTGACGGCACGCAAACTGTAGCCCTTCGAGATCAACAGGTGTCCTATCCAAGATGTATGTCAGTCGATCTTGAAGTCTCTGAAGGATTTCACGCTTTACTGATTCCTGGGGGGAAAATAATAGAAAAGATAGATAAAATATGACCAACAGTGCTCAACGTTCGACCGTTTGTTTACCAACACTGGTTAATCCTATTTAACATCATCTCTTAATGTTCAATTCCACCCCATCATTAAACACAATGGAATATATTTTTGAATAATAATTTGAGCAGCAAACTTTGGATTAATTCTGTCTAAATTGTCCCTAAAAAACAAAGCAACAGAATGAAAGAAGTTAAAGAAATGTTTGGCTAATGTTAGCTATGTAAGGTTATAATCCTAGGTAGTCTATTAGCATAATATAGCTAACTTGCCAGCAAACGCTAGCATTACATGCCACCCATATTACTTCCATGCTAACACATCACTAACATAACAATAATTCATACCTAAAACATATTTAATCATTCACGCCGAGACACATATAACTTACACTTGTGCTAGACGCCATGTTGAAGTTGACCTGTCAGCTCCGGAGTCCGGACTGCGCAAAAAGCGTAAATGAAGCGCTACGTCACGAACGCAAGAAATCCTACCCACGTGGGGGCGCGCTCATGTGATTGGCTTAGACTGGAGGAGACATCTGATTGGCTATAGATGAGAGAAATTACAAGTACGAATCGGGTGAGCGTCAGGGGAGTCTCAAAAAACCCACACACGAATGCAAAGCGATCCGTGCACAGAAAGCTGTTTGTGTTTGAAGGTGCAGCGGTTTTAAACGGAAAACTAATATGTGTGGATCAAAAATACACATGTAAAACTTTTTTCTGTGTTTGGATTTTATTTACATGTATATGAAACGGAACACATTTGTGTATGCATTGAAAAACACAAGTGTGGATCCGGAAATACAAGTTTGAATCCTTTCGCGGATCATGAAATACAAGTGTGAATCCTTCTGTGTGCATGTGTGTATTATGAGACTGTTCTGAGCCCATAAACGTGTGCAGTGGTTTGCAAATCTGCCAGTACAAGCGCTAGCCAATCAGACCGCGTGTATGCTGGGAGAGACTACGCAGGTAATTCCTCATATTCCAAAAATTTGAGGGAAAATTCATTATAGCGGTAGTGACTCACCCGGTGCTGCATGATCAGTCTCTGTTCATCTACCGGGATACAAACCAGAGGAGCGAGGCATGGAGGGAGGTGCCAGAGACAGTGGGTGAAACTGGTAGGTTTTCGCCTGTTGGGGATTTTTTTTTTTTTTTTTTAATTTCCATTTTACTTACGTTTTAACATTGCATTGTATGTCGGGGGCAAGAGATTCATGTGATTGGTTGTTGCTGCTGTGCGGACCAGTAGCGTAGGCAGAAATTCACTTTAGGGTGGGCCTGTAAAAATATAGGGTGGGCCAGATTTTTCTTCTGCGCATCAGAAACTAACAACAATCCCGCCGGATTACTTTTAGAATACTTCCTTTCCTTCTCTTTTCTTTTTCTTCTTTCCTCTTCTTTTTATCTTTTCTTTCTTCTTTCTCTTTAGAATACTTTCTTTTCCATAACAGATGGGTATGTTTTGGTGAACGGGAGACAGTATTTTACTGTTTTAATGGCTTATGAAGAGCACAAACACAACATTTTAGTGTCATTCTGGACAGCTCTCTCATCTGCACCACACATAAAAAGAAAAACTCACCCAGACTGCATTCTTTGTACCGTCTTAAAACCTTTCCTTGGAATAGTTTATGCATTGTAAGGTGTCCTTGGGTGCTTTGAAAGGCGCCCCTAAATAGAATGCATTATCATTATTATGTATTACCTGAAACGATGTAATCACTTTTAAAACTTTTCCCAGTTACTTGCCCCATGCATTCGGCAGCAGCAGGCCATTCAGTTAGATTTGATCCCGTTATGAATGTCATCATTCGACAATAAATAAATGCTACATAAACGTTATCTTCCACGTTTTATCTAAACATCTCCGTTTCTACCTTCCAATATGTTTTGAAAGAGAACTCTCTCTCTCATCTGCGTGCGGGGCGGGGCCTCGCGGACACGCTGCATCTCTCGCTCACAGATACGCTGCAGCGCTGTGCACACGGTTCTGCCGGTAATGAATATTACATATTGTGAGGAAACTTTCCACCAATAATTCCAATAAGTGTTCACTTCAGGTTTACGAAAGTAACTGCACTCAGATTACTCGTTTTTCAAATGTAACACCAGCTGAATATACTAATTTTTTTCCCCTTCTGATTACGTAACACCGTTACATGTATTCCGTTACAACCAAGCGGCAAACTGTGGGGTAGAGCCGGGAAGCCAATACGGAAGTGCCACACACTGCAGTTCATATATTGGCCGATAGGCGATGGCTGCAGAAAGGAGCAATTTCCATAGACCCCCATGTTAAAATGCCCAGCTTTACAGCAGAAAAAAACATGTTTCTACCCCTGGCTCCATACATTTTATTATCGATATAGTTAGATTCTACCTTCATGATTATGGATCTGTGAGTGAATTGTTTTCTAACGCGACCCTTTTATTTATATTAGGTCTTAAAGTTTGTGCATAGATTAGGGCGTGGTCACATTGAGTGACGGCTCTGTCAAGTGCCTGCCGCTGTTAGCTTCTTGTCTCTCTGCTAGCTGCTCCATGAAGCTAGCTATAGGGACTCTGCCTGCTCAGCTCATCCAGGAAACACAACTTGTAGCCGGCCGTGGTTGTTTGTTCTTCATGCTTATATATCGGACTATTGTGACTCGCTCTGCGGTTAAAACAGACGGTGCATGAATGCGGTAAGTGAAATTCGAGTGCTTTATTTATGTGTTAATGATTTTAATCGGCTACGTAATGAATGGTAAGGCTTGGGTTAGTTAGTGGCTAGTGGTAGCTACATCGGTGCTAACGATTGTAATCGTAGCCTCCAAGTTAAAATCATAGACTGTATATATAAAGGTTTAAACTAAATAGACAAGTGTTAAGTGGGATAATACTGTTGAACAAACGGCTTCTGTTTGAGGTTGATAAAATAAGGTTACATCCTTGTAACTTAGAGATATTTTATTATGTAGGTAGAACTGTATGCATCTAAGGTTAATTTAAATTGGCTATGCTCAAGTATGTAGACAAGCTAATGTCGAAGTAGTGTATGTGAAATCAACCTCACAATAAGATGTGTGTATATTACAATTATTAATGTCATATTTCAAGATGATTACTTAGATATTACAATATGGTTGGTTGAGCTGGAGTTCATTATTGAGCTTACACGTTAACGTCACAGTCATCTGAAGAACGAACCCAAACCTTGTTATTTTTATTAATTGCATTACCAAATGGGTATCAAATAAACAGTAAGCATTGGTAACACAACTTCCAAAGTTACAGTACAATAAAAAGGACCCTGACCCTGACTCGGACAATACACAATCCAACATGTTCAACAGAAGATAATCAGTTATATTGTTTGTACACATGGTACTTTACATATATATCTGTTTGTTTAAAGTGTCCAGGTGATGCAGACAGGCTGGACCAGAGAGTGAGAGACAGAACTGGACTCCTCACAGCAGTGAACTTCAGCACAGGTACAAAGACTCTTTTTTTCATACTGTACAAAGAATCAAGAAAGATATTGGTTTAAATTAATGAAGTATTGACTTTAATACACTGATATACATTCCATTAAACAATACTAAATACTAGATCACCTACACATCAGTGAAGTTGAGGGTTTTTTCCATGCAAAAAGTTACATTTAGATATTTAGCAATATGACTTTGTCAGCTTTCTAATTTAATGTATTGAAGGCAAAGATATTTAACACATAGTGAGAACTGCTACTATTTATCTCTCAATATTGTCTGTAAAAAACGTGGTAAAAGTGATTCTTTCAGTGAGACAACAGAGCAAGCTTCTACAGTTGCACTACGTTTTGATAACAGTTAAATATTATTTTGATAACATATATTTCAATGTTGATGAACTTCATACTGTTCATTCATAATCTGATTGTCTTTGTAGCTCATTGTTGAAATAAAAAAACAACATTACAATTACAAAATAATTATATCTACAGCCCCTAAACACACAAACACACCGCTTTCATAAATAACACACTTGTTCTGCAATAATATGTTTTCTGTCATTTTTGTTAGGAAAGGACATGCCTGAAAGACACGATATTTTCTCCTTCTCTGAGGGTCAAGAAGAACATCCAAGAGGAACATTAAAAGCTGATGTTATGAGATTTTAAGACCAGTACAGGAAGTTTACTAAGAAACTACTTTTATTGTGAAAACAGTCAGCTGATCGAATGCAGCTATTTCCACATCTACACTCCATCAGCTGATTATTTCTATTTGCCTCACTTTATGAGCTTCACAACATGTACCTTGTTTTGCAACGTTACAAATAAATGGGGCCAATCTTCAGTCAGATGTGAATGTGTAATCTAACATTTTCAGTAAGAATAATGGACAAAAGGAGTGCAAATACAAATACAATTGATTGAAATGTGAACCAAAAGCACATATGGACAGAAGGTGTAAACCTATTAAATGTATAAGTAAACACATTTAGTCAAATAAAGTGACCGACTAGGCCTGTGCAGTTGGTATCAGCTTTGCCCAGCATGGGCTCCTTCATCAGCCCTGGTCCTCCTCGCAGAGGAAAGACCCTCAGTCCTCCTCGCAGAGGAAAGACCCTCAGTCCTCCTCGCAGAGGAAAGACCCTCAGTCCTCTCCAAACCAACAGACAGGACGTCCATCACACGGAGGTTTCTCCCTGAAATCTCTGCTGCTCTCTGGACACCATGCTGTCTCAATCCGTCCACACTGAATATGAGATTGGGAAAATAAAAATAATAAATGCTTTAGACAATAAGAAACATAAAGTTGACTGTTGAGTTGCTCAGTTTTTTTAGATTGTCAATACTATTACTGTATAACTAATATCTCAGGTTAAGAGGCACATTCAAATAAAGATTGGTCTTTAAATACATTTTATCTTTTGAATTGTTTGTCTAAAGTCAAGGATCTAGAACTGGTACTTAGTTTTAATGATAGTCTGGTTATTATGCTGTTTGGAGGAGGCCTCACAGGTAAGAGCACTAACTAGCTACCATCACCGTACCTTAGCTTGACTTAAATGTATTAAACGTATAGTTAAGTGATATCAAAATATAAAGAACTAATGTCATGCAAACATTAATATTTGCTTGATTCCAGTGTTGAATTTAGCACAATTGCATACAAACGTTAAGGGGTTTTAAGATTCTGAAGTATTATGCTAAAAACTCAATAACTTAGATTATTATTTATAGTTTTGCTGTATAGTTTCATGTCCGCTTACCTTAGAAACGTAAAATGCGACGGCAGCGTGCAGATGGGGAGCATGCATAGACTATATATAAAGGGAGCATGTTAGCTTAGCTTGGTAGCTTCAGCTAGCTCTGGAACTTCCAGCTCGGTGGCAGCAGGTCCCGCCTCGGCTCCGCCTCTTTGCCCTTATTTGGAGCAGGCTGGAGAAGGCGGGAGTTGAACTCTGACGTCACTGTCGAGCCGTTAGTGGCCGACTCCGCCTACTAAGGGCTTCACGGCAACTCTGCAGAATCCTATGGGTGACGTCACGGACCCTACGTCCATTTATATATACAGTCTATGGTTACAACCCAACCCTGTGTAAGGGTGAGTGCAAACATTTTCGTTAAGACTAGTACTTGAGTGCAACGGAGGTTGAAGCTCCTGTGGCGGAGTCTTCCAGAGCCTGAAGGCGAGCATCGATAGCTATCATGGAGCTAGCCAGGGATTGCAGGGAGCCGGCCGCGCTACTCTCCACAAGGGGTGTGACACTCCCTGCCTGGCGAGCCTGAGAAGGGGTGGATTTTTGGAGGGGGACGGGATCCTGGAGGGCTCGACTTCCTGCCCTTTTTTACCTCCGCGGCTGCGGCCTCGTCCTGCTCTCTGGGGAGCTGACTGGAGCTGCTGCCCCGGACTGGGGAGCTACTCTGGAGACCTGGTCCGAGAGCTCTCGCCGCTGAGAGAGAGTGAGGCCTGGGGCTGTGGGAAAGCCCTGCTGCAGGAGCAGGGCGATGAGGAAGTCTTCCTCTGTTGATAAGCCGCTGTGGGGAGCCGAACCGGGATCGGAGACTTCCAGAGAAGGTTCGTGTTCCGAATTGTCCGAGTTGGACATCTTGAGCTAGTTGTTTCTTACGGGTTTTCTCACGAGAAGGAGTATTGTATTGCAACCACCATTGCGTGTGATCATCTGCAATGACAACTGACAGGGAGGAAGAGCAGGTATTTAAGGAATTTAGCATGTGCAGCGATTGGCTGCTGAGGGGTGACGCCCTCGTATTTAATGAGGGGGGAAGGGAGCCATAGAGTGACGTGTAAGTGACTCGTGTTAGTTCTTCCTTATTGAACTTGCGCTAAAGCTTTCATTTAGCAATCGAGAGAAACTGTGACAAGCTGTTACATTTGCAAATAAGGCTCTTACGTAATTTAACAACAGAGTGATATAAGTAGCTTATGATAGTCGAGACGCAAACTAATTGAAAATATATAATTAGAGGAAAAGAGATACAGAAAAGTAATGGAACAAATTATATTAACATAGATAAATCAGTTCAGGTTTAAAGGTTCAAAGAATGATTTTGTAACAGCAAATAAAAGACAATTATAACCCAGTTAAGGTTCAGGGATGCCAGTATTCAATCAACACTTTACTTACAGTAATTGTGAAAGGTTCATCTGTGTCAGCTCTTTAACTGTGAAGGATGTAGAACACATGTGTCACAATAAGTACAGTGGGAGGGAGACATTATGAAATATAATCCATGACATGAGACAGGGCAGAATGGAGGCTTTTAATATGCAAATGTTAATATAACCACATGACTAATGTCTGTTTAATGCTTGAATAAATACAATCAAAAGAATAACAAAATAAATTAGGATAAATAAATAATGTTAAATAATTGTTCAGAAATATATCAACTAAAATGGGATATTACGTATGTACATTGTTTATTTATTTCTGACAAAGGGCTGCTCTCCATCCAGCTCTCCAAGCTGAAAACATTTGGCAACAGAGCCTTCAGTGTCGCAGCCCCCACCCTCTGGAATTCTCTCCCCTCTGCAATCAGGAATGCAGACACTCTGGACATCTTCAAAAAACACCTCAAACACCATCTGTTCACTCAGGCCTTTGGCCTCAACTAATATACAGTACTCAGCAACCTGTTCCTGTTTTGTTTTCTTCAGCCTATGTATCTGTATGATTATTATTACTTTTTGTTGTATTACTTCCCATTGTAAAGCATCCTTGGGTTTCGTGAAAGGCACTATATAAATTGAAATTATTATTATTATTATTATTATTATTATATTTGACTCATTCACAACATTTCTGTATTTATATATTCATTCTTGTATTATTTTTTGATATAATAATAAATATAGCATTTATTTATATGTGTGTATATATAGGTACCCCTCAACAAAAACACGCCTGTTTATTATCAAGGTTTTAAAATGTGTTCAACACACTTACAGGTACACAGACATATCACTAATTCTGTCATCAGTAACTTCATGACATGAAGTAAAGGTATTTTGTTAAGAAAACAAGGAAGTGGCCGTGCTGTTGTGTGGATTTTGATGCGCTTCTATTTGCACTTCTATGGCTTCTGTGTCAACCAAATCTACACATTCATTCTGGCTTTCTGCATTTTATCAAGAAATGTTTTTAAAGTAATTTCACACATGGCACGTCACTCCATGAGATCCTCGGCAACACAAACACTAAGCATTAAGGATTAACCCTTTAACTGCCAGCACCACCATTTGGTAGAGCACATTTTGTGTCTTGATATCTTGTTTAAAAAAAAAAAAAAGTTGAACTCCATCTGATTCAGCGAGCTCTACCCTTTGGTTGACATGTTATGCACAAAACAACCTCTAGATGTCACTGTGGTTCGAACAGAAAGCCCTTCAGCTAGCTTCTTCTGAGAAAGTTAGCATGCTAAAAATCACTGCTGAAGAAATCACTTTTTTTGGTCAACTTTTGTAAGGTAACCATATCCTTTTTGACATATTTTAGTGGCATAATTAGATAACTTGATGCACAAAAAAAGTTTTAACAAGTGTGTAATATGCTCAACCAATCGGTCGAATTGGCCTTTTATGGTAAACTAGCAATATGACTTTTTCAAAGTTTCAGAGATGTTTTCCAATAAAATATGGTAAATAAATGGCTAGATTCATGGTAATATTACTAAATCTATTACTGCCTTATGAGTCTCAGAGTGAAAGAGTGATAATAATTTATATAGCACCTTTCATGCATGGCATTCAGCCCAAAGTTGCACACAGATGAGCAAGTTAGGCCAACACAGGATATAGACATTTGCTGTTAGGCCAGTGGTTTCCTGTTAGGCCAATTCAGCATCTACAGTAAGATGAGCAAGTCATCTTTTTTTTTATCATGAAAAACACTTTACATTACTTTTTTCCATTTCTTTTTTTTACAATTATAATTTATTATCTTTTATGAATATATCTGGTTGTATATATTGCTCATTTTCCATAAAAGAAACAAATATATTTGAGTTTTATTTAAGTTTGATGCGTACAAATACTGTACTGTATATGATGATTGTTGAAAATGTACTTTTACCAGGCCAGCTCGACCAGTTGGTAGAGGCTCATAAAAACAAAACTGTGTGGTCAGTCAAAAAATATATAATTGTTTGTGCTTATTTGTGGCCCATTTGATAAGAAAATGCAAAAAAATAATTTTTCCATAGCTTTTTTCTTGGTCCGGCAGTTAAAGGGTTAAAGTTGGCAAGATAATAAAAAAACACACATGTCTGTCATTATTAGAGCATCATGATAAGCGGGTAGTGTTTCGCTTACATTTCCTTTTCTCTTCAAGGTTTTGTCCTGTTGAATAGCAGTGATTTAAGTTAATAGAGATTGTTTTGTTTGTTGCTGATTCGTCACATCAGTCGTTTTTCTCTCTATTTCCAGGCTTGGCTGATTTACCTCTGACTGTGTTTGTGATTCTATTTTGTTGATTGCTTTCTGTGACCTTTGATAAACGGCAATTTCCGCCTGATTACAGCAGCCTATTTACTCTAGACTCTGTGGAATGTCAATCAATCCATCATTCAATCCATCAATCAAATCTAAATTGTATAGCTCAATTTAACACATTTACTCAAGGGGCCTTTTAACTCTGTTCAACATCCTCTGTCCGAAGATCATTGCAGCAAAGAAATACAAGTCCCTAAAATACATTTGGGAAATACTCTGGGGAAAATGGAATACAACTCAGAGAGAGCAACAGAGAAGGGGAACAGACGGGATGATTTCATGTGAATATAAAAATGCATGTATATACAGTATACTGAAGTGCTCAAAACCCTCCAAATTAAATTTCCACCAGTGCTTTTACTTCAGTATATAATCTGAGTGATTCTTCCATCTCTGCCTTTCTTAACCTCTTTCATATAATACATTACTTTTATATATCACTTTTCCTAATGCTCAAAGCGCTTAAATATAGTGATTAGTGGTGTAAAGTAACTAGGTACACTGAAGTACAATTTTGAGATACTTGTACTTCACTTTCAATTTTATCCCAGTCGATTTAGCGGTGAAAAATGTACTTTTACTCCACTACATTTATTTAATATTGTTAATTACTTTGCAGATTTGGAAAAGTGATATAATATGCAATATGATAAACACTTAAATAACATATTACACTTGGAGTAAATCCACATGCTACCCTGCAGCAAACAACGTTATTAAAACTAGCTGCACATTTACCAGCTTTGATGACACTTTAATGCATCAATAATTATAATCAAAACATATAATGTATACTTTTCTGAAATAGGCCAATAATAAGTACTTTTACTTTTGGTAAGTATATTTTGATGCCATTACTTTAGTACTTTTACTTGAATAACATTTGCAACGTACTTACTTGTAACTAAGTATTCCTACATTGTGGTACTTCTACGTTCACTTAGGTGCAAGATCAGAGTACTTCCTTCACCTCTCATAGTGACAGACCATGCTGCTAATGACAGCCTCCCCTAATTAATAATGAAGCACAGGTGTGTTGTGTCCGCACCTCTCCCTTCTCCTGCCGTTTGACGTTTACATTAAAACATAACGTGATTAAAGTAACAGAAGATTATCAAAAGCCACTCATATGTTGGCTTAAAATGAAGGTGCCAGAGGGTGAATTAATGAGCGATATTTTGAAGCGTTTAACGGGCGAGTCAGCCCTCCCTTGCTACAGCAACATAGTGAAGTATAAGAGAGGAAGGCAAGGAGTATACTTCGTGGCCGAGGAATTCGTTGAATCTGTGAAGAAACGAGAGCTGGTCAACGCCAAGGAACGACTGAGAGTGAGTGGAAGAGTGTGAAACGCAGGAAAATGTTTACTAATGTGTTTGACAGCAGGCTAACGTCAAGTGAGCAGTTGCTAACACGCACCGCTAGCTTAGACATGTAGCTACTTAGCTGTCGACGTCACAACCAACGTTACCTGTAATGGTAATTCACTTTTAAGAAGTACTCCGATGAGTGGCGTTAGGCTCTGAAATGGGCCATTGTGCAGAATGATATATTTTACTTTTTGTACTTTAAGGACGTTTTGATGCTAATACTTTTGCACTTTTACTGAAGTAACATTTTGGAATAAGGACTTTGACTTGTAATGGAGTATTTTAAGACCATAGTATTTGTACCAAAAGTAAAGGTCCATTTCAGAATAATATAAACTACAGAAGTATAATTGGCTAAGTATCAAGTATCAACAGTAAAAGTAGCCTACTCGGTATGGATTTTGTTTTTACAGTATTATACTATTATGGTTATTATATTATGTGTTATGTGTTGCAGTTGGTAAATGTCGATCAAATGTACATACATAACTAACACAAAGATGCAAAATTAGCTAAAAGACTCTTGTTCTTTACATGTCTGTGCCTAGTGGCCGGTTTGCTCATAAATTGTCCATGCATGTTCTTATTCATCACCATTGTTTTTGCTTTATTCAAGTATCATTAATGTGAAACTTCAGCCTCTCTTATGTGCAGATAAGGAACTTGAACACCATGTTTTCCCGCCTGAAGCGCATGGTGCCACTGATGCGACCAGACAGAAAGCCCAGTAAAGTGGACACACTCAAAGCTGCGACAGAATACATAAGATTGCTTCTTGCAGTTTTGCAGGACACCGACAGTGTAAGTGCTTTGTTCATCAGGACTCTATCAAATGACAAGTGTCCTCTGTTATTTTCAAAGGGCAGTATTGCCACTTATTTTGTATTGTTGATTAGTGTTATTTTCTATTTCTCAGAATACTGTCAGTGGGACTGATTTCCTCAAGAATGCAATCACTTATGGCCAGACTGATGTCTTGGGAAGTGATCTATGGCGAGTGGATGATGTGAGTGTTTGTTTTTCCACCTTGCTGTTATGACAGTTTGAAAATGTCTTCTTGTATCTGTGAAACACCTTCTAATTGGCTTTTTTATGTTATCTCCTGCACATAAGATTATGTCTCAGGTAAAAAGCTGACTTTGAGCTTTAAAGTAATAATTCAGATTGTTTTAAAGAAAGGTTGTTATCCATAATCAGTGTATTCTAAAGGAAAGGCCTACCAAAATAAATAAATAAATATTAGTTTAGGTGTACGTTATATTAACAGTATTTTCATCGCCTTACCATGCTGTCAGACAGCCATTTTTTTATGGAGAACTGACGCTGTTATCTATAGAGGCGAAGTCCTGCCCATCTACTTCCGACCCATCAAATCAAGTTTTATTTATATAGCACATTTATAAACGATTTTTGGTCGAGCCAAAGTGCTGTACATATAATAAAAATAGCCTACAGTAGAGACACTTTACAGCAAATACAACAACACAGATTGTTCAGAATATCAGTATGAGAAAAACGACACCCTCTGTCCTTAGACCCTCTGTCCTTAGACCCTCTGTCCTTAGACCCTCACATCGTACAAGGAAAAACTTCCAGAGAAAACCCACAGTTTAAGGGGAAAAAATGGGAGAAACCTCAGGGAGAGCAACAGAGGAGGGATCCCTCTCCCAGGACAGACAGACGTGCAATAGATGCCGTGTGTAAATCGAAGAGATAATACATTTTACAGCATATAGACCGAATGTTAGGAAATGCATGTGTCTGTAATAAGAAGATGAATCCACGAGGATGTCAGCTACAATCCTGTGGAAGCCATCAGGGAAGCAGCATGACGAGACCCAAGGCAGGACCGCAGAGACAGGTTCAGCCACGACCCGAACTCCACGACTTAATCCAGAACTCAGGATAGAGGATCCAAGACACAGGACTACAGCAAGAGGATCAGCCTCGACTCCGGATCCCGGCGTAGATATAGATACAAAACAAGAAAAAAGATTTGGCTGGGTTAATCGGAACAAGAGAATACACAGACACAGACAGAGAGGGGAAAGGTCATTGGATACAAGTTATTCTTGATAACCCTCTAGAAAGATCTCATGAACTTCCCCACTCAATCTATCAAGACCTGAGCAGTTCTATTAGATATAGGATAAGAAACAGAGATAGGGAGCATGGGACCTTATTTCGGAAAAAGTATGTATTGAAGTTTGAATTGTGCCACGAATTACACATATGATGTTTGTCAATCTTAAAAAATCATTTCCATGTCAAAAAGTTACAGTTTGTTGTAAAACTGTTGAAATATAAGACTATGAAAAATACGCAACTAGAAAGACTACAAATCCCAGAATCCCGGTCCCGCATGCTGGCTCTTACGGAACCGACTCACTCCCCTTGTGTGTATGCACAGCTCTCAATGTGCCCAGACTTGTAGTGATTTTCACCTCGTTTAATACTTTTCGCCTCATTCTGAAAGAAAGAAGTGAAATGTTTCAACGTGACGGCCGTCTTGGTGTGTGGTGCGAGACGGGAGATGTAGTTCATTGAGCGGTCTCACACAAAAAAGTGTTACTTCACAGTTTTACGACACATTTAAAAAAAATGTACTTGCAAAATTATATTTTAAATTGACAAACATCATATGTGTAATTCGTGGCACAATTCAAACGGGATCGAAAGATAATCTTTCTCTCTTCAATGCATACTTTTTCCGAAATAATGGAGGTCCCCCGGAAAGGGAGGGACTTCGCCTCTCTATGCTATCGCCACCAGACTCTACTGGAAAATAGAAGTAATTGTACCTTAGCAGAACATGAGTTGCTGGCCTACCTTTGCCTTGAGCAGTTATTTTGTTTGTGTTATTGTACGACTTCAGTGAATCCAAAAGTCACAAACTATGGGCCAGTAGGGCTGCAAGATTCAAGCCAAAAATAATCCTGTTTATTAATTTCTTGATTTCAGAAGGAAAAGTATTATTTTTGCACTTTCAATGTTGTCTTAACGGAGCACTGCTTGTACTTTCCTTTCATGTGTTCTTGATAATGTAAATCTAAATTATACTTACAATATGGTTTTCTCCTATAAAATATAAAAAAAATACTGTATCCAAAATACCTCCCTTAAATGCTGAAAGCTACAATATTGCAGTCGATCGTTTTAATTTAAATTTGGGAGACAAAAATCATGATTGAGAATAATTGTTAATGTCTCATTTAAAGGTAGGGTAGGTAATTCACTTCAGAAGCACTTGTTATATTCCATGGAATGCTCTTAACATCCTGATAGCAATGAATACATTAAATGCTTTGACAATAAATACATACAACATTTCATCTGTGGAAGCCGTGGCGCTGTAAAAAGCACGACCAATCATTTTAGCCGGCCCGGCTAAAGTAACTGGATGGCCTACCTGCCTGTCAGCCTTCCATCTGTGCACAAACTTATCTCGTGCCCTCATTGGTCATGTGCGCGTTTGTGTGTGTTGGAGGAGGGGCTCTGTAAGGAAGTCTGAAGGAAGGTACAGATTTTTTCCGGTTGTGTACTTTCAAATTCTAGCTCACTCGAGCTGGTTTCTGCATTTTTACCTATGATTCTTACCTACCCTACCTTTTTAATAAAAGTAAAAACAACAAAACTTCTGCTGTTCCAGTGAAATAAAAAACTGTGTTTTAGGTGTTTTGATATGGAGATTTGTCATGCTTTTATTGTTTTACTTATGAACAAATGTTTTGCCGTACAGTTCAATTAATTGTAATTTTTATGATTCCCTTTAAAGAAGATATTTTATAGTTTAAGGTCATTTTTAAAATATATGTTCTTTTCTTTCCTGACAGGAGCGAATGGAGGATGGGTTCAGCATGCTCCCAGAAGCAGTGACAGAGGACGGAGATATGACCAGACTGATGCTGCAGCACTGTGTGGTGCCTGGATACCAGTTCCTCATACAAGTGGCACCCGATCAGACTCTGGTAACTCGTTTTTCTTTCCTAATTATAAACTGTTGTTGTTGGTTAGTAGCGATGCTCCAATCGCAATTTTTTAAATATTTTTTCTGATTTTCAAAAGAGTCTGAAATGCAGAATTAGATTTGCTTTACTAAAAACTATAGTTGATGGTAACTACAAACATTTTTGAAACTTTTATTAAATGTACTCGTAGTAAAACATCATTACATAGCTTACATTTCCGTCAAAACTAAAGGATACTTTTCGGACCTTCTCAGACAGATTTCTAAATACTTGTTATCTCGAAAAATGCATTCCAACTGAAAATGAACTGTGTTTCCTAATTAACATGTTTTCCTTACCCAGAATAAATATGGTACAGCATATGTATATCACAACACGCTTGTTTCGGTTTTATTATTTTGAACTGGCTAATTATTGCAATGTGGGTTGTATGCGCACAGACATCCAACAAATCAGAAATGTGAGACTTGCTACGAGCCATTCACAAGAGGGACTTCACATCTGTCATGTTTTAATAATGTCTCACATTACACATTTCTCCCCTCTAGGGTTGAACACTTAATTAGGTTGTCGTCTTATTCGTCACACAGGTCTCTATCATGAGTGGGTCTGATGTGAAGTGTTAACAAGAACCTGGCATCAGGGATCTATTTATTCATTTAGAAAATCATGGAATATTACTCTGCTTCCATCTTAATCAAAAAAAGATTTGAATTACAATATAAATCTGTGGGTTGCTTCTGTTTAATGCAACCTATGATGAGAGTGCCTGGAGGTGGACACAAGCCACTAGGCTGTAAATCTTAAGCATATTTAATGCACAAATATGAGTTTCAGAGACTTTGTTTCTTGCAATCTAATGACTTTTGAAGAATAAAAATAACTAATAAGTTAATGAAAAGAGCATTTCTATGTTGCATAGTAATAATGTTAACCCTCAGGACAGAACACAGAATAAATTCCCCGTCTGGCGTAAACCTGCTTGGATCTGTGGCATAAACAAATATTTAACAGTTTTCTTTTAATGCATTTTCAGAGTCTGTGCAGACTGCTCTCTCACAAAATGCCAGATGTCACAAAATGCTTCAGTGCCTGAAGTGTGTGGGGGCGGGGTGCCAGTACTGCCTTATTTAGATATTAGCATGTGTGTCAGTTAGCCTTTATTACATAGAATAACGAGCAAAGCCCTTCTTAGTGTGCTCCAGGTTGAATTATACTGTGCTATTTTTAAATAGCAAAACAAATATCTATAAGTGGAGATGAAGCCCTTCAGAACCACACTACTCTTACACTACGCAAGTGAAAGAAAAATTGCTTGTTAAAAAATTTACATAGGAAATAAGAAGGAAATATATAAAATACTTCAGTTGTAATGCACACCCAGGGTTGTGATGAGGTGCTGATTGCTGGAAATAGAACCATGCGCATATATTTTATTAAGATTTGTTCATTTTGAGGAGGACAGGGGCCTACCTACACCATTCATAAATTATGAAAATATGCATTCCTGAGTAGAGTAATGACACTAAGCATAAGGCTACATGAATACAAATAAACTGCCACTTAAACGACGGCCACATCAAGGTTGCAAACTGGTGTATAAACAATAATGTATGTTTTCTTTTTTAAAGATTTTTGTTGGGCCACCAGTGCATTTAATCAAGTGACCACTATGAAAGTGTGAACCAGGGGATGGCAGGCTGCACATGGTCTCAGGCCAGATTAAAACCCGGGTCACTCACTTAATTAAATAGTGAAACTTTTTTTTTTAAACATAATACAGCCAACATTCATACTGTGTAGGAATACATACAGAATCCTTCAACAATAAGCAATCAGACACATTTATCATTCCCTTAAATGATCTGACTGGAACATACTTCAATTACCGCTGGCAATCAACACGAGGCATTTGATTGTCTGCAGTGTAGCCGTCACAACGAGGCATTCAGACCGTCCTCACAAGTACATCTTCATCTGATTGGTTAAATGAAGGATGAGAAGGGTGAGATCAAGATAAAACACAGTGTGTGTGTCCTCTCTCCAAGCTGTTTGTTCCATATAGCTATGTCTTTTTTTAAAACATGTTATCCCCTTCTTCTTTTACAACAGATGTCTCAACCCTAGAGCAGATGGCTTGGACAAATATTGGAAACCTGCCAGGTTGGATATGTTTAATACATTGATTAAACATCTGTATATAAGTATGTCTTCATTTAAAATGCAGATTGCTGCAAAATGTTGGAAAGCAGAAGTCTTAACACTCCAGGGTTAAAGGATTATTTTGAAATGCATGCAAACGTCGGACAGGTTATATCAGGCGTTATGATAAAAACATTAATTGGGATGGTAATTACATTACATTTAGCTGACGCTTTTATCCAAAGCGACTTACAATAAGTGCGTTCGACCAACAAAATACAAACTTGAGGAAAACAGAATCATATAAGTACATCAGGCTTCATAGAGCAAAAACATTTCAAGTGCTACTCAACTGGCTTTAGATAAGCCAGCCCTTTATTAGTATATAAGTGCTTTGTTAATAGTTCTATCGCTCGAAGTGGAGTCGAAAGAGATGAGTTTTCAGTCTGCGCCGGAAGGTGTGTAAGCTATCTGCTGTCCTGATGTCAATGGGGAGCTCATTCCACCATCTTGGAGCCAGGATAGCAAACCCACATGTTTTTGCTGATGGGAACTTGGGTCCCCTTTGCAGCGAGGGTGCAGCGAGCCGTTTGGTTGATGCGGAGTGCACGTGCTGGGGTGTACGGTTGAACCATGTCCTGGATGTAGGAAGGGCCAGAACCATTCGCAGCATGGTAAGCAAGTACCAGTGTCTTGAAGTGGATTCTAGCAGTTACCGGAAGCCAGTGAAGCGAGCGGAGGAGCGGTGTGGTGTGGGAGAATTTAGGAAGGTTGAAGACCAGACGAGCCGCTGCATTCTGGATGAGCTGCAGAGGTCGGATGGCACATGCAGGTAGACCAGCCAGGAGGGAGTTGCAGTAGTCTAGGTGTGAGATGACGAGAGCCTGGACCAGAAGCTGCGTCGCTTTCTGGGTCAGCTGGGGACGCATCCTCCTGATGTTGTAAAGCGTGTATCTGCAGCAGCGGGTTGTAGCAGCGATGTTTGCAGTGAAGGACAGGTTGTTGTCTAGGGTCACACCCAGATTCCTTGCAGTCTGAGTCGGGGAAACAACAGAGGTGCCGATGTTGATTGTTAGGTCAAGAGTGGGACAATATTTTCCCAGAAGGAAAAGCAGTTCAGTCTTGTCAAGGTTGAGCTTGAGGTGATGATCAGACATCCACTGAGAGATGTCAGCTAGACAAGCAGAGATGCGTGTGACGACCTGGGTCTCTGAGCGGGGAAAGGACAGAATGAATTGGGTGTCGTCAGCGTAGCAGTGGTATAAAAAACCATGCGGGCTAATGACTGATCCGAGCGAGTTTGTGTACAAGGAGAAGAGGAGGGGACCAAGAACAGAGCCCTGAGGGACCCCTGTAGTTAATTGACAAGGGTCGGACTCGGACCCTCTCCAAGTAACCCTGTAGGTGCGGTCTTTGAGGTATGAGGTGAGGAGGGAAAGTGCAGAGCCTGAAACTCCAAGTTTTTGGAGAGTGCGAAGGAGGATCTGATGATTCACCGTGTTGAATGCAGCAGACAGGTCCAAAAGGATGATGACAGAGGAGAGGGAGGCTGCTTTAGCAGTGTGCAGTTCCTCAGTGACAGCAAGGAGGGCAGTTTCTGTGGAGTGACCTGCCTTGAAACCAGACTGGTGTGGATCCAGAAGGTTGTTCTGATGGAGATAGCAGGAGAGTTGTTTAAAGACAGCACGTTCAAGTGTTTTAGACAGGAACGGGAGGAGAGAGACAGGCCTGTAGTTTATAACATCAGACGGGTTGAGAGTGGGTTTCTTTAGGAGAGGGTTTACTCTTGCCTCCTTGAGACTGTTTGGAAAGTGACCAGAAGTTAGAGAAGTGTTGATGAAATGGGAGAGAAACGGTAGATTATCAGGAGCGATAGTCTGAAGGAGGTTTGAAGGGATAGGGTCCAGAGGACAGGTGGTAGGGCGGGCAGAGGTAATGAGGGTAAGAACCTCACTTGGAGAGAGAGGGGAAAAGGAGGTCAGTGTGTTGGTGAAAGGAGGGTCTGGTGACCCAGCGGTGAGTCAGAAAAAGAAGAGCGAATATCATCAACCTTTTTTTCAAAGTGGTTAACAAAGTCGCTTGACAGAAGGGAGGAGGGGGAAGGGGCTTTGGGAGGGTCCAAGAGGGTGGAGAAGATGGAAAATAGTTTTTTGGATTGGAATAGGAAGATTGGATCTTATCTTGAAAGAAAGTGCTTTTTGAGAGATCGAAGCAGAGAAAGAGGAGAGGAGAGCCTGATAGGTTAGGAGGTCGTCACGGTGTTTGGATTTCCACCATTTCCGCTCTGCTGCCCTAAGGACGGTTCTATTAGCACGCAGTGCATCATTTAGCCAGGGAGCAGGAGGGGACTGACGAGCCTGCCGAGATGTGAGAGGACAGAGAGAGTCCAGAGAGGATGAGAGAGTAGAGAGGAGAGTTTCTACAGCAGAGTTTGGATGTCGTAGTTGGAACGAGTCCGAGGAAGGGAGGGCTGAGAGCACCGATGAGGCAAAGGTAGAGGGGGAGAGGGAACGAAGGTTACGGCGGACAAGTGCAGGATGAGAAGAGATTAGTTTGTTATGTTTGGAAAGGGGTAGAGAGAATGAAATGAAGAAGTGATCGGATGTGTGGAGCGGGTTTACAGAGAGGTTAGAAGTAGTACAGTTCCTTGAGAATATGAGATCAAGGACACTTTATGAGCTGGTGGGGAAGGAGACAGTGAGAAAGCAAAGACGGTTAACAGAGATGTTAGTTCGTCTATCTTCCCTGTCTGGAGGTTGAAGTCTCCGAGAAGTACAGCGGGAGGGCCAGTTTCAGGGATGAGTGAGAGGAGATTATCTAATTCCTCCAAGAAGTCCCCCAAGGCGCCTGGTGGACGGTAGAGAACAACAATGGTTAATTGTATAGGATGGGTTACTGTGACGGCATGGAATTCAAAGGTGGAAGGAGTGAAGTTAGGTAGCTTGAAGAGGGAAAAGCTCCATTTGGGAGAGAGCAGGAGACCAGTGCCACCTCCTCTGCCAGTTGGTCTGGGTGTATGGGAGAAGGAATATGCAGTGGAGAGAGCTGCTGGGGTGGATGTGTTGGATGGAGTAATCCAGGTCTCAGTGAGAGCAAGGAAATCCAGGGTTTGCAGGGAGGCGTAGCCAGAGATGAAGTCAGCCTTAGGAACAGCTGACTGGCAGTTCCACAGGCCGCCTGAAACTAGATGTTGGATCTCAGTGGAGCATGTGGGATAGACGAGAGCAGGCCGGTTATATCGATTACGAGATACACGGGGCCAGTGATAATTGCGAGAAGACACATAAACAGGAATGGAGAAAATACACATGATTATAGCATGAGGGGCTAAACAACCAAATAAAATAAAACACCAGCGATACTTTAGCTCAATCAAAGTAGGATTTGCCTCCTCTTTGCCTCCCTCGTGACTCCCGCAGGACTCCAATGTCTTTGTCAGTCTTACTCCCGCAGGACTCCAATGTCTTTGTCAGTCTTAGCCTGTCTGACGCTGAAGCTGACGCTCCAGGAAAGTGCTACCTAAAATGGACACCTGATTGATGAGTTCTCACAGCTGTGGGGCCACGTCCCTTTAATTAGTTCACTCTCTGCAGCTGGTGGCCCTCAAAAGGAAATCTAGACTGGCTCCCTCCTGACTTGTTATTGTCTTTTCAGTGGCCCAATGGTTTTACAATTACATTAAACCCTAAGTTATAAAGTTCTGAGTTTAACCCTTAATACAGTTACACCTACTCAATAAAGCTCTTAGTATTCTACAAATGTTTAAATCAAAGTTAACTCTAGCAGTCAGTTAGTTCAGTTTTAAGGTTTCAGTCAAATTACTTGTCCCAAGTTTCTGCCTGACAGATACTGTAGCGGTTTTGAGATTTAAAATCACAATTTCAGTCAGATCAACTTCAGAGCATTGATACAGAGTACACACACTGAAACAGAGAAGTCTAAAAACAGAATGTTACTCACACAATTCTAGAAGTCTCCAGTTGCTTTCCTGTCAAAATCGAGTTGCACACTGGTAATAGAAAAACATATGATCGTTGGTGTAATATTATACAAATGTCGCCCCCATGTGGACACAAACATTCTTTTAATTTAATTTCCAATTGACGGTACAAATAAGGGGTGTTCTCCAACAAAGGAAGACTAGGACAATTGGGTCAATTTGTTTATATAATTAACATAAATGAGTAGCCATTTACATCTTCTGTTTGCCAGGGATGTGCTCATACAAATCTTAGAAAACAAATCATTCAGCATGAATAAAACCTTTAAAAAAACACTCATTGACACAGAAGATATCTGTACATGTCACAGAGGAAATGAATGATGATTGCATTTAGCTGCATCAGTTTTAGGGTATTGCGCATGCAGGCTCACTGTCACAATTGAAAAGAGTAGAGTCATAGTTATGCGCCTTTTCTGCAAAAAGTAGTCAACATTTCTGCAGTGGAAAAAAAAGAAGCAGTGGGTTACATAAAGGATCATTTGTATACCAACAGCTCACCTTGAATCCAATTTTCTCCATGTTGTTATCCTATGTTTACCATGGAGAAACTGTATACAAACACAAAATAAAAACACATTGAAGTTAACACAGGGTACGTAATGTTCAAATGATCATATTGTAGGTGAAGTATTCCCTTCATTGCCTTAACAAACCTATGTTAAGCCCTGGTATCTTCCCACACTTGCAGGCCCCGCACACACAGATGTGTTCAGTTATTCTGGCTCATTAGACCTCTGCTCAAGTGTATGACTGGTCATTTAATGAGGTAACACTCTTGTAAACAGGATTACCCTTAATAACACATGGGCACAATAGAAAATTCATTATCCCAAAGATTTGACGTGTTACAGCGCCCTCTTCTGGTTAAATGTTTCAGGTAGCACCCAGCTTTCTTTATAAAAGTGCACTTAAAGGAGGGTCAGGGTGGAAGGGAATATTTCTGTTTTACTCCTAAGTGTCAAAGAATAATTCTTCCATACTCCTAAGATATTTAACCTTTCTGCCTGTTGACATTTACGACGAACCCTAAGTCTGTTATCTGTCTTAAGGAATGGGAAGTCTCAGCTATTGTTGACATTACCTGTTTTATGACCGGTCAACTCTCGGTCACAGAGCCAAAGAGTCAGATAAGTGATTCAGTGTCTCCAGGGCCCAGGAGTTCAAAACTTTTAATCTCAATCAGATCCGATCAGATTTTGAAATCCCATTTTTTGTGATCCAGGATCAGACAAGTCGGACAAATGTTGTCCCTGGAGTTCAAAGCAATTCAGGATAGGATCAGCCTGATCCAGATTACGATTTTTCAAGATGACTAGATCCTGAATATCAGTGCTTTAATCCTACCGAGCGCCATTTTGTGGACATGAAAAATAATACAAGGAAGACAAGAGGCCACATTGCAGAGACATCTATAATGTCTAATTATATTTTTAAATTTGAAAGGTGATGACAGATGATGGACTTTTTTTTTGTTGAAGATATTTTTTATTTAATCTAAATTACATTTGTGATTGACAATCTTTGTTGTGATACTTTTATGAGCATAAACATTTATGTCATCAACATTTGGTTGAAAAGAAAATAGGCCACCACAAACAAACATGAGCAAAAAATGGACAAATAAAATGTATTTCCCATGAAGGCTAAAAATGGTGTATTATTTCAGTTAACAAACTTTGCCATCTAATTTAAATTGAAACATATTTTATAATAAATTGTACAGTACATTTTGCTCTGGTAATCCACTGGAAATCCACCCCTCTGGTGGGATCAGGATAATCCAGTTTTTTGGGATCAAATTGATCCCAATCCTGTGTTGTCGGTTTGAACTACCCGTTTTGAAGATTTGATCCAGATTAAAGCTTGGATTGGATGTCCTAATCTGATTGGATATCAAAGTGATCCTAATCCTGTTTTTTGGTTTTGAACTCCCCAAAATCCAAATCAGATAGGGATTCAAAGTTTTGAACTCCTGGGCCCTGGTGTTCACGTATACCTTCCCCCAATATGTGGGTTGACTCTCAGTAAACTAGTTAAAGGGTCTACCAAGATGCGAGGCTGATCAGAATTTACATGACAACCCACCCGTGCAGTCAGAACCTTTTGCTGCTGTGACTTGTGATATGAATTCTCCGGCCGTATCCTTGTAATAAACCCCAGTGTTTGACATCAAAGCTCCAACTCTCCTCGTGTCTCTCTGAGTCCTGACTTTCCATTGCTGCAGAAGTTTCCCTTACACAGGGTGTGTTAAAAACATCTATTTCAATGCATTGTAGTGGAGAGGGGGGGGGGGGGACAGCCATTAGAGATTTACCTTTCAATCAACAGGTCACTGAATTTGATAATTGTGTTAACTGTTACATTTTTCAATAATTCTTGTTTTATTTTTTAGGGGGCTTACGAAGAAAGGATTATTCACGGAGAAAATACTATTTTATTTGTCGTATTTAATTTATATATTTTGTTTGATTAAATATGAATGTGTTTTTATTTCACAAACTGTATCCTTGGCAGCCCTAAAATAAAATGTAAAGACGGCTTCTGTTTTTAAAATTACTGTCTAAAAGGGTTGGTTGTTTTTTGTTAAGTTATTATATTCCGTCTAATGAAAAGCCACAATTAATGGTTACAAGGACTACTGTTATACATATTAAATTAAATGAAATGTCATCAAGTCCTTTAAAGGGAGACATTTGTACCAAGAAGACGGACGTTTTGTTACATTTCTGTATTTATATTATTTTTTTTGTCCATATAACTGAATGCTGTGGTTGCCAATGTTTCTCATTTCAGAGGTTTTCATTTGAGTTTTCCTTGCAAAACTACATGTACTACTCTTACTTAAAAAAGACAACTTGAATTTCAAAATGCTTGATAAATGATGTAATTAACGACTCATTGTAACGTGTTTTTATTTGGCACACATCTCCAGGTTAGTATCCTTTTTTAAATGTGCAGTGGTGGAAGAATAATGTAAAGAAGTAAAGCCATAACTGCTGAAAACCCTGCGTTCAAATGTCTGCACAGGTCAAAAAAGGTCACATCAAAATGACAAGTAATCAATATGTTGAAGGCAAGGCAAGTTTATTTATATAGCACCTTTCAACACAAGGCAATTCAAAGTGCTTTACAAAAAAATGAAAGACATTAAGAAAATGGCATTTAAAATCAGTCATTAAAAGAAAAGCTAATAAAATAAACATTAAAAGAAAAAATACATGGATAAAAGTTACAGTGCAGTCTAAGATATGAATTAAAAGCAGCGACAAAAAGAAAAGTCTTCAGCCTGGATTTAAAAGTAGTCAGAGTTGCAGCGGACCTGCAGGTTTCTGGGAGTTTGTTCCAGATATTTGGAGCATAATAACTGAACGCTGCTTCTCCATGTTTAGTTCTGACTCTGGGGACAGAAAGCTGACCAGTGCATTTAACTAATGGGGTTATTTTTACTGATCGATCCACTTTTAAACGGTGATTAATGGCCTATCTGTTAAAGGGTGATCAATCATTTATTGAAGTCTATTCCAGTGTTTGTCATGTCAAATCTGTATATTCTAGGAAGTAAAATAGTAAAAAGTGTCAGAAAATAGAAATACTCAATTAAAGTACAATTACTTAAACCTTTTACTTGTTGTGGACTGAGTACTCATACCTAGTACTTGTACAGTGTAGAAATACTCTGCAAGTGAACGTCATGATTTCAAAATTCTGCTCTAGTAAAAGAACAAAATTATTGGCGTAACAATTTAAGAGTTATTCTATACACTTTTATATTACTGTATTATATTTATTGAAATGTTCATAACTTAACAGCTGGAGCTTGTTGTACAGTAAATACTCCAGGGTAGGTTAACATTTCACTGAGGGAGCAAATAATTATATTTAACATCTACTAGTTTATGATAAATTATTTGTTGATTATATTGTGTATCATTATAATCCTAAGTGATTACTAAATACATGTAAGTAAGAGAAGTTAAAAGCACAATGTACTTAGTAGTGCACAAATAAGTTTAAGAAGTATCTTTAAATATAATGTACTAAGTTTCTGTCTGCTAAGAAGGCCTACTTAAATACATACAGCAAAAACCTAATGTATGTTCTAACGGTGTCCATGCTGTTCTCCATCAGAACAGCAGGGGGCGCCTGTATGTAGCTCATATATCTTGATCCTGGTTGCACTGGGCCCCGCCAACTAAACGTTTTAAGAGAAAGCATTAGACATCCACTTGGGCTTTGCGTGGTTTTTTCCCAACACAATAACTCCAAGTGCATTGCAAAGCTTGAATCTCACTGTGGGTGCATACAAGAGTGGGAGCCCTGTGTGTGCGTGTGTGCGCGTGCGTGCGCGCGTGTGTGTGACTGTGGACAGGCGTGGCAGTGGGCTGGTCCAGGCGCACCGAGCAATGAAAAACATCCTCCGACTTGGTACCAGCTGAGGCCCTGAAATAACCCCACAAAGGAACTTCGCTTTGGGCGTTATAATTGTAATTAACCACACATCTCTTTTCTTCCTGAGGTATACGGCTTCGGGGCCGTGGGTGAGCCGCGCGCTTAGAGAACACGCGCTCCCGAGGATGCACTGAGGTGAGTAAACCTGCTAACATCAGTGTTAGTGTAACAGCATGGTTAAATGGCTGGGCGTATGTTCTCCCTGCAGCGTGCATGAGCCGTGTGTACGCCGATCATCAGACACCATACTGCCCGGTGCTGTTGTCAGACATACGGTGCATCTGCTGTCTTTTATTCCTTATAATGTGCTAGTGATTAAGATCGCGTATTCTGCAGCTCTCCGCATTGTTGTTGCTTTCTTCTCTTCATTGCGCTCTGCACACGAAGGCCCGTGACTAACGCAAGGTCTCATCTGTGCAGTTGTGTCATGTATTGTGTGATGTAGCCATGCAGCCTCTACTCTTGCTTATTACCGTGCCAGCGATGTCGTTTTTTGTTCATTTTTGTACAACAGTTCTGGGTGGATATGCAGGCCATGATTAAGTGCATTGCTCTTGCTTCTATTGGAATTATATATTTTTTAAGATGTATATTTGCTCGGTTATTTAGAGAGAAAGGGTTGAGTCGTCGCTGCTGCATTTATTTTTTTAGCTGGTGGCCATTAAGCGGATGCTGATGCTGATGCTGCAGCGCGTGCGGATGTTGCTAAGCAGCCATGCATGATGGGCAGCTAGCTGGTGTGGAGGATGCTAACAAACATGCAGCTATACACGATATCTGCATGCACGGTGAAATATGAAGCTGTAAAAGCACAATATGGAGCCCTGCTTGCACTCACGTGACTCTATGATCGATATAAACCTACCCCCCCTCCCTATACAGATATTAATCTCCATCAGCACAATGATGATGGGTTCATTTGAGCTACAGCTGTATAGAAGTCATTAGTGGGTTTAAATGTATATTATTAAACTGTATCATATCTAATTTCAGGTGATTCATTTTTTGAATAGTGACTCTCATATATCGAGTCTTTTAATTTACTAGGGCTGCAACTAATGAATATTTGTAACGATCAATCGGCTGATTAATTTCTAGGTTGATCATTTAGTTTGTAACATTTCAGAGGATAGTAAACAAACAAAAAAAGGTTCATCCCAGTTTCTCCAAATCTTTAAATGTCTGGTTTTTAGTCATTCGGAAACTCAAATATATTATTTGAGCAAAATGTCTATTTGAGGCTTCAAACCTGAATTTCCAATTAGCAAAATATTTTCCAATTATTTTTTGGGTTGATCGATTAATAGATAAGTTGACTTATTAATGAAAGCTCTACCAAAATGAAGATCCTGTGATAATACAGTGCTTTTCCAAATAAATAATGTTTTGTTTTTTTGTTGAAAATGGACTAGCAACGATAAGTCGACTTAGAAAAACTAATCAGCAACTATTTGGATAATTGATCGATTATTGAAGTAGTTTCTCGTGCAGTAATGTCAGAAAATGTTGTTTTCAGCCTCTCAAATTTGAACACTGCTGCTTTTTTAAATTGTATATCTTATTAAGGTAATATCTTTTGGTTTTTGACTGACAAACAAGACATTTAAAAACTTCACTTTGGACTTTGACACTAATATTGACATGTTTCACTAGTTTGCGACATTTCATAGACCAAAACATGTCTAAACATATTTTTCATTGGATTATAACATGTACAAATAAAGAGGTAAACATGATTTTAGTTTAGAAAGCAACAATATTTATTAATATTTATCTTACTCAGTCAGAGATACTGCTTTATTATAACACTGGTTTACAGGTTAGGAACCACTTAGCAGACATTATAAAATAAACCTGAAAGCGAACCCAAAGAAAAATCAATCAAAGCTTCTTAGTGATTATCCAGCCGCCTCTCTGCAGCTGGAAGTCAAGGGCACAGAGGTCCTAAAACCACTCTCTAGTGGCCACGTTTAATGATGTATTGATTGTCAAAATAGTTGTAATACCTCCCTGTTGATTATCAATGATTCGACTAATGGTTGCAGCGCTGCTGACTGTTTAATCTAAAGTGTTTACTTTTCAAAAGGATTGTTTTATTTGATCAGTTTTTAATGTATTTTTTGAGTAATCACAAATCAGATCTTCATATCTTTATCCAAATGTGTCGAGATGGGTTTCTAACAGAAATGCATTGCGTTGCATGATTACCTGAACATATCAAATATTTGGTTTTGCCAATCTTGCAGATTAGTATATATTCAAATCTGAACAAATTACAGGAATCCTTACGAGGTCAACATCATTGTGTTGACGAATTGTTTATACAGTGCCATTGTGTTTCTTTCACAACCAAACCCTCCTTTTGTTCTAGTTGTTCTCTTGGTCCTCACTCAGCTTCAGGTTGTGGCTGGCAACCTGCTTTGATTTTTTGATAAACTCTGAAAAACAGGCTTGGGGCTTAACAGGTTAATGAAGATTAATCCTGGAAAATAAGAACCTTGCAAGTGTTTCCTTTCTCCTGATTTATGGCATTGCACGTGCTGTGATGCGACTACATGCACACAATGCGAGTCGTTACAATAAACTGTTCAGACTTTAAAGGTCCCATGTCATGCTTTTCCGGTTATTACCCGTCCCCTTGTGTGTTATGAAGGTTTTTCTGCATGTGAACGGTCTGCAGAATCACAAACCCTCAAAGTACACCCTGTAGCGAGTAAAACTCGAACACAGAAAAGTCCTGTCTATGCTGCTCCAGAACGCCTCGTTGGAGATTTCAATTTTTTTTTTTAATTTTGCAGATTAGTATATATTCAAATCTGAACAAATTACAGGAATCCTTACAGTATTACAGTGGATCTCAAACTTTTTTCAATAATGTACCCCCTTTGAAATTCAGCCAAGTACCCCCTGATCAGTGCAAAAACAATTTGTTAAGGAAAACATGCCTATACAAAGAGGTGTCTGAGTTATTAAAACAACAACCTTGTAACTGAGAAACACTTAAATGATACATTTCAAATTTTAACATCATGCAATAACAAAGACGACATTAGTTGCATTGAACTGATCTTTTTAATAAGTTGTAATTACAGTGTAGTGAAACATGGGCTTGAGCTTCACTGAGGATCTTTGTCATTCTGACAGGGAGGCAAACTGCAGTTATTACACTTCGTGTTTTGAAATATGTGTAACTCTGTTCATATAAAACCCACACTGCTCAAACTTCGTTACTTTTCCTAAAATGTGTATATTTATTTATTTTGGGTCGTGGGGAATGAAGAGAAAAAAATATATGAGCATTTTATGAGCATGGGATTTTGACCCCTCATATACATATGCATAATGCTGCGCTACTTTGCGGCCACACGCCGTTGTCAAGCAACGCTTATTGTTTAGGTGTCCTTTGATAAGCAGGCAGTCATATAATTAGCTAGAACTAGCTAGATCTAATAGATTTGGACATAAACGCGAGTGAAGTCTAACTGGACGCGAGAGAGAGATCAGATCAGCTGCTGCTGACAGAGAACACGCAGCTCTGCATGATCACAGCTCCGCCGCTGTGACGGACCGTTGAGTGGAGCAAAACTAAATACACTAAGAGTTAGACCTAACACACTTAGCTAGTGTATCTACTCTGGAACTAGCTAAACTAGTTAAGAATATATTTATTCTTTACTGTCGGATCACTTATTACAGGTTCAGTGAGCTGCACGAGACTGACGGGCTGTCAGGAGAGGGAGAGGAAAAGAGAGCACCCCGTTTATTTTTCCCATTTTATTATCCAGAGTTTCTGTAAACCTTTGAGTAAAGTAGTTAATCTACTATTAGTAGTTTTGTTTAAATGCATTAATTATGTTTTTTTTTTTATTAGCATAAAATAAATCTCACGTACCCCCTGCAGTACTCCAACGTACCCCTAGGGGTCCGCGTACCCCCATTTGAGAACCACTGCAGTATGAGGTCAACATCATTGTGTTGCCGAATTGTTTATACAAGTGCCATTGTGTTTCTTTCATAACCAAACCCTCCTTTTGTTCTAGTTGTTCTCTTGGTCCTCACTCAGCTTCAGGTTGTGGCTGGCAACCTGCTTTGATTTTTTGATAAACTCTGAAAAACAGGCTTGGGGCTTAACAGGTTAATGAAGATTAATCCTGGAAAATAAGAACCTTGCAAGTGTTTCCTTTCTCCTGATTTACAATGCGAGTCGTTACAATAAACAGTTCAGACTTTAAAGGTCACATGTCATGCTTTTCCGGTTATTACCCGTCCCCTTGTGTGTTATGAAGGTTTTTCTGCATGTGAACGGTCTGCAGAGTTACAAACCCTCAAAGTACACCCTGTAGCGAGTAAAACTCTAACACAGAAAAGTCCTGTCTATGCTGCCCCAGAACGCCTCGTTGAAGATTTCTAATTTTCCATTGTTTGCTTCCTGAGTTCTCTGACGTGTGAACATCCAAATCAACAACAAATGACAAAATGGACCAATCCGCGGAGCACCTCACACACCAGGATCCAGTGGCGGCTGGTGGAAAATATTTTAGGTGGGGCTGTGGAAATGGTGACCAAACAATAGTAGGGGGGTCTGGGGGGATGCTCCCCCTGTAAAAAATTGAGAAAAGACCCCTTAAATTATGACTTCTGGTGATGTTAGAGGGGGGGGGAAGGACAAATTGAGGCTTAAAAATATGAGAAGACTGATCAATGCCTCCATAATCTTCAGTGTGGTTAGCTATGAATCTTCCAAAACTTCCAAACACCTTGTCCTGGACATCGTTTCTATAAACTGTGCAACAGTACAGTAGGCCCACACAAACTGCAGAACACCGGGGCTTTGGGAACACTCAAAATTACTTAAAATTATTTAATTCCCATTTAACCTGTTAAGGGGCTTTTTCCCCCCCGTTTTTTTCTCACCAAACTGTGTCTCAGGGCTTCTTAAAATGTGTCCTACTCATTTAACAGGAAGAAACTCAACTAACTGATGATATGAACTAGGGATGCACGATTTTTTGAAACCGATACCGATAACTTCCTGCTTCTCAAGACCGATACCGATACCGATAACCGATAATAAAAAAATGTTTACGCCACTAATTATTTTAACGCATGTGTATTTTTTTTTCCTCGGCCGCCCC